TAGGAGGAAAGTTTCAGCAGGTGAAAAATCTTTCCAGATAAAGAGAGGGCATGATATTACCCATGCATGCTCTGAAATGTTTCTTCTCATGAGTAGACTGTTGAATTCACAGGGGTCAGAAATGAGTGAAGAGTTGAGTGAAGGTGTGGGATTAACACCAAGCTCAAGCCACATAAGTGAGCCTTTAAAGCAGGGGTTGGCAAGGTTTATGTACCTGGGGCCGGTTGCTGGTCCCCAGGTCTTCCGCTGAGCCGGGGGGGGGAGAGAAATGGCAATGTGCGCGCTCACGCATGTGGATGCGGCCCCTGCAGACCCCCACCACTGCCGCACACACTGCCACCACGGCATGCATCGCGGCCACCATTTTGTTTGCCAAAATGGCAGCCACAACTCCTTTGCGCATGCGCAGTACTCCTGTGCATGCACAAACGAGTCATGGCCACCATTTTGTTTTCCAAACGAGTCGCAGCCACCATTTTGGGAAACAAAATGGCAGCCACAACGTGCGCAGCAGCAGTAGGGGTCAGCAGCAGCGGTGGGAGGGGTCAGCGGGGGCTGGTCGGCAGGGGTCGGTGGGCCGGGTGCAGCCCATGGGCTGTAGGTTGCCGACCCCTGCTTTAAAGGATACTGAACCTACAAATATCCTCATTTTCTTAATCATCTTTAATTAATTAATTTGTAATTAAAGAGAGATATTCTGCTTGGCAGTGAGATCAAAGCCTCAGTGAGCTGCCCTCTTTCTGTACATGAAATGAGAAATCAAAGCCTATTTACAAGATTTTAATTTAAAATCAATAAGACTAGTAAGAATTTGGCTGAACAAAGTTTTAAACAGATAAAGTGTACAGTAATTATAAAATAAAATAGAAGACTTTTTATTTGAATGTGCTTTGAGAATTTTGAAGGTTATTAGACCAATTCTCTGTTAGATCTCTTTGGGAATGTGGATTGTTTATTTTATAAGACAAAGGACAATTTGACAATGTTTTGGAACTATGATGATTGCACTGGAACTAAATTCTTAAAAGACAGTTGAGGGGAAACTTTTGACCCTGTAACTGCTGTGTTTTTACTTCAGATCTATTTAACATGACAGGAAAATGGCAAAAAATTCAGAAATAGGGGAGGAGTCCAAAGACTTCTGGGGAGAATTTTTGGAATAAAAATTTATCCTTTGTCTAGAATGAATTTTTGACTTGAAACAATACCTGGTTTGACAATTAATGCATCATTTAACAAGAGAGTATGTCCAAGTCTCTATAGCAGGAGGAGAGTCATGGTTTAAATAAGAACAAGTTAAAGACAGTAAGATAAAATCTGTTAAGAAGTTTGATTGCAATATACAGGTGGATCAATGGGAAAATTTGTGGTTAAACGAAATGAAATTTATACAATATCATGAACTTGAGAGAATGTCCATAAAATGATGTACTGTTGGTATATGGTATTAGAAAAAATTGTCTAGAATATATAAAGATGCTCCAAATATATGTTGGGAATGTGGGTAATATGAAGGGAAACATTTTTTTATAATCATATTTATGAAATTTAAAACGTATATAAAATACAAAATACCTAATATATTCCATTCATCAAGTTATAAAGTTATAAACAAACAAAATTATCATTCACAATTTAATACCCAAAACCTACATAAAAAACACAACCAAAACAGCATTCAATTATTTTATCCAGTATTATTAACCTGTCCCCTATTTATATTTCATCTATATCCATGGCTATATCTTCCAACTCTTCTTATCATCATTAATCATATACTTCTGTCTAGGTCTTCCCTCTTTTCTATACCTCTTCTCTATATCTCTCTTTATCATATTCAACTACAACAAATCCTTCCTTTTCAAATCCTTCCGCACTTTCATACCTCTCCATATCCTTCCTTCACCATTCTATTCAATTTCCTCTCTTCTTACCTTAGGTCTTCCTTCTATCCAACCCAGGGTAGGCAACCTTTCCCCTTTAAGGGCCGAGGGACTTCAGCTCCCAGAATCCCAGGAGCTATTGGCCAACATGGGACTATTGGCCAACATGGCTAAGGCTTCTGGGAGCTGAAGTCCCTCAGCCCTTAAAGGGGAAAGGTTGCCTACCCCTGATCCAACCTCTCCCTCTTCTCTCACTCTCTCACTCTCTCTTTCCTCACATACTCCCACCTTCTTCACTTACTCTATCCTTCTACATACTCTCAACCTTCCACACCCAGACTTCATCCCTTGTCTCTTCTGGTTTGAGAAGAAGAGTTTGGGCCTAAGCAGACTGCCAGAAATAGTGCACATTAAATTGAGGCACTGCCCTGGCTCAGGGCTAAGGAGTCACGGGAACTGTAATTTATTGTGGCACCAGAGCTCTCTGACAGAGAAGGCTCAATATCCCAGAAAAAATACAATTCCCATGATTCCCTAGTACTGAGTTAGGAAAGTTAAAGTGGCCTCAAGCTACACTATTTCTGGCAGTCTGTAAAGGCCCTCAGTCTATCTTATCTCCATCAATTGTTTATACCAGGAATCCTATCATGGTAATTTCCCTCCATTTCTTTTCAAAATATTCAATTACTACCCTCCATTCTCTATTTACCTTGTCCATAAAATTATTCTCTAATATCTGTGTTCAATCAATATTTATTGCTTTTGGCCAATGGCCATTGCAAAGACCAAAAAGATAAAACAATACACATAAAATTTCCATAAAACCAATATACAATTGCATATAAAATATGTGACATGAATACATTGAGATTAACAGCTAAACACTTTTAACTAAAGTTATCCCGTTCATTTTTTGGGACTTTCTTAAGCCTCCCATCTCTTTCAGCTAAGTCAAACATATTAAGTCTCAGTTCTGTGAAAGTTCGATGCAACTGAACAAAGGTTAGACTGTCAAAATAATCCGGGTGATCACAGGATTGCCTGAGGCTGTAATATAAGGGGGCACATGAAGAACCATAGGCAGTATGTAAGTCTACAAGTGTAGTAACTTCTAATATTGAGTTATTTTTTTCTTTCTTGCGGGATGGTCTAGCCCAGGGCCAGGCAACCTTTCTGAGACCTGGGCCGGTCTCCTGTAGCCCAGGTCTCAGCTGGGCTGAAGGGGGGGAATGGCGGCGCGTGCGCTCACGCGCGCGTGACCCCCCCCCACGCACGCAGCCACTGCCGTAGTGTGTGTGGCTGCAGCCACCACGGCACATGTCGCGGCTGCCATTTTGGAAGTCCAAATCATGGCCACGGTGCGTTTGCGCATGCGCAAGAGTACTGCACATGCGCAAACGCATCGCGAC